ATTTGCTGTCTGGGACTAGATCCTCACTCTGTAGCCTGCGCTGGCCTTGACCTTGTGGCTATCTAGCTCAGCCTCCTAAGTGAGAGGATTAAAGACATGAGCCACCACAGCTGGCTTCTAAACTTATTGTTAAACAAAGGTCGTCAGAAATAAAACATGGCAGAACCATACCTCAAAACTCAGCTGTGGGTAGTCGAACATGCTTCCAAACCAGGACAGGGCTGAGTTCACAAAGGACAGCAAGGCCAGGAAGGCGATCAGATTCGCAGCGATGTTTGCCACCAGGGGGATGGATGAGGATGCACCCTGTGTCGCGGCCTCCAGGAGATTCCTTGAATCACTTCATCAGAAAATGTAATTCTAGAGTTACCAAGGAGTATCTATCTCTGGACCTGCAGCAATGGCTTAATCATAGGTGCTGGGTAAGAGGCCAACCCTTAGGCAAAGTACTCAGACGGTGATGGGCTTGTGCTTGTTGGCTCTCTTGTTGGATGAGGGATGCTGCTATGGTACCTTTCTCTTGGCACCAAATCCTGGGCTTCAGGCATGCTAAGCACCCACTCTCATCCCTCATCCAATAATGCTTTCTTAAATTGTGGCACTTGTAATTAGCAAACAAACAACCAAGAAGTGACAAAATTGCATAACTATCAAATGTAACTACCAGGGAATATTTCTAAAATCTCCTGGCATTGCAGACTAGCAGTTGAAAGAAAGCCCATATGACCACCACTTTATTAATCGTTGAATCCCACTGTGTTCTCCTCTCTGATCTCCCATGAACCCCTCTAATCTGAGAGGTCTGTCCCTCAAATCTATCTACCTCCCACTTACCATTCCCCTACATGGCTGTATCCTTACACCAAGCAAGTGGAGCCTTCAGGATGCTGTCTGCTATACCAATTATTTAGACCAAAGTGTTTCCCATTTTAGTGTCTGGGATAGTTGCCTTATCCATAACTAGGAATCTTTTGGCAGGAGTGGTAAGGCTTAACTGTGATACTGTTATTTTGTATGTACCTAATACACAGACTTGAGAGTAATTTTATGCACCATTTATTTGCCACTACTGTGTGTGTGAGCATGGTGATGGGGTTGAATGTGTCGAGCTCACACACAAGCCTGTGGGGTCACTTCTCTTCTCCACCTTTCTGTGGATGCCCGGGCTCAGACACAGGTCTCCAGGCTTGAATGATGAGGGGTCTTACCCACTGAGCCTTCCTGCCAGCCCTAGACAGTATCTTAATAATCTGTGCACAAAGCTGAATGGCATGGACTCGTGCACCGTGGCAGAACTGAAAATGTTTCGGATGTCAGAGCAGTTCTGAACTTACGTTTCTGGGTTACAGATGCCCACCTTTTGTTTCATCCCTTCGACAAGTTGTCCTCACAGTCCCAGCTATGACTATTCATACATAAGCGTGGCATGAAGCCCAGACACATGTTGATTAAATGATGTGCTGTATGGTACTTTTATATATCTGATTCCTGCAGTCCCTCTGCCGTTCTTTCTTTTCCACAGAGCGGAAGAAAATGAAGCAGCCCTTTCATTCCATGAGGGACCTTGGAAAGAGCTGCTCTGTGACTTCCCAACAGTCTTAAAGCAGGGCTCAGTGAACACGGAAGCACTTTATAATGAACACTCAAGAAACAGCTGTTTATCCAGGCTTCCCTGAGCATTGAAACAGGAGTTGTTTTGTTTCTTGGGTAAGGTCTAAGAAGTCAAATGTAACAGCCCTCTAGTACCACGGCTGGCTGTGCTTTCTTCCCATCATCAAAGCTTGATTTTGGCATCCCAGCCTGATTGTTAACTGGGTAATAATGTTCCCACTTACCCGTTCTCCATTTTCATGGCATTCTTGAGGGTTACTTTGGGTTTCTCTGTTTCAGGCCAGAAGAGTTTGGACACAGCCAGGGATGCAGGCGCTGACATGACTGAGGCGGTTAGCAAGTGTGTGGATGACACCTGAAGCAGAGAAGGAAGAGGCTGATTTTGTGCTGGAGAAGTGTTTCCTAAGAGGTTTGGAAAGACACCATTCCCTGTGTGCCCAGTCCTATTGCCTTGGGAGTCAGAGGACAAGACACCTGACTACCTCCTTGAGAAAAGCACAAAGCCTAAGTCTGATTATTGGGGTGAGAATTAATCCTGCACTGTAAGAACTTTCAGAGATGTCTCAATCCCTCGGTTGTCTCTTGGGACATTAAAAGTTGGTCCCTAAAGTCCATATTTTGTAATATCCTCAGTTTATATGGGGATGTGGGAGGTTGAAGGAGCACGGGGAAAGGATGGAAGGAGAAGGGAGAAAGGATGGAACACGGAGAAAGGATGGCAGGAACATGACCCATAACCTCTTCTGTCTCTACACACCATTTATACTGTCCCTCTGTCGTGTAAACTATTTCTACTTACCTCATTGCATGTCTACTCCTTTCTTACCCTCCCCATATTTGGAGTTTTCTAGATTTTCTTCCCTGCTGTGATGGCTAACTTGACTGCATCTAGGATAAACTAAAACCCAATATGCAGGGCAGTCCTATGAGGGATTTCCTTGATCAGATCATTAGTCTTCAATACCAGACTGGGACTGCTGAGACAGCCGGCCCCAAGGGCTGAATAACTGCTGCATTTATAGCCTATTCAGTGTAGGACAGCCATTGTCGGACTACCTGGACCATATCCTGTAAGCCAGTCTAATAAATTACATACACACACATGTATGTGTACACACACATACACACACTCTTCATTCTATCAGCTCTGTTCCTTTAGAGATTCCTGGCTGTTTTCAGAGTTCTAGAAGCAGTGTCTTCCCTGCCCCCATTCCTGTTACACCTAGCTCATTGATAAAGGCAGCATTCCTACCTACAGTAGGGGCAGGGTGGACCATTTGTGAACTTCCTAGACTGAGCATTCTCATAACAGCCTTTGTTTCTCTTTTTCCCTTTCTTATTACTAGATTCCAGACCTTGGCGAACATCTGGGATGAGGTTCACATATCTTGAAAGAACACACCTCATTATTAGATTTACTCCTGGGGTCTGCATCAATGCGGGGCCACAGTATTCCCGAGCCTCAAAAACTAGTCACCTGCTCTTAGAACTGGCTATGCATTAGAATTTGGGTTTGTAAAAAAAAATATTGATAACTGTGTCTCATTCCAAGAAATTCTTGTTTAATTACTCATGGGTATGGGCCAGAAAACTAGGATCTTTATAGTAGGTTTCACGTGAACCAAAATAGTCCTTTCCAGGTGAGCCTATGAATCAAGGTTTAAGAACCACTGCTTCAGGACAGAACTCCTTTCCCACAGGCAAGGTAAGTATTTTTGGCTTTGTTGGTCAAACTATTCAACCCATAAAGGACAAAAGAATGGGAATATCTAGTTTCCAATAAGCCTTCTCAAAAAATCTAGCAGGATCTGGATTTGGCTCCTGGATCATAGTTTGCTGACCCTTGGCTTAGACCATCTTTACTTGTGTAAATAACAGGATTTGTTTTCCACAGACTGAAATTTTTAGGCAAAAGTAGCCTTGCTATATAAGTTGTTGTGGTTAGAAATAAATATGGGAAGGTGGCAGGAACGTGGACGCAAAGCTCTCAAACTCCCTGGGGTCACTATATTCAGAAGCCAAAGCCACCTTTGGCTACTTCCGTCACGCTAAAAAAGAGCGGCACTCTCTTGGTGTCATTTTACAGTAAGTAAGAGGTGGGAGATTGAACTTACTTTTAATTATGTTTCAAACATTCTTACCCCAAAAGAGATATAGGCTCCCAAAACGCTTCCAGCAATCGTCGCGAAGCCAGCTGTCATGATGGTGTGGAGTTCTGACCTGGTGACATGTGGCAGATACGGTTGGACCAGCAGTGGAGACTCTGTCTGGAGACAAATGTTAGATTCACCTTTTAAATGCTTAACATCGTGTTTCCTGACTCTCAGGCTGTCTCTAGAGGTCACCAGGAACTCTGGAAATGCAGATTACCCTGACTGTAACCAGAGAGTCTGAGGGTGGCCTCACAGACCGGGCTTTGACAGCTTTCCGGGTGGTCCTGGAACCTGACTCCTGGGGGTCCCTGCATTCAAACGCCACAGTGACTGGGGCAACTTTTGTAGAACTCAACAAGGAGCAGTCTCCTGCTCTCTTTCTTCATGAGTGATGAGAAAGAGAAAGAAAAGTAACAACAGGAAAGAAGAGACTGAGTTTTGCTCGTTAATTATGTTCCAAACATTCTTACAAGAGAAATATGTGCCCAAGATGCTTCCAACATTTGTAGCATGGCCTGTACCATTGGTGTCCTGGTCATTTGAACTCTAGAGTGGTGTGCATCTGTAGGCCTGGGTCAATCTTGTGATGTGTGAGGCTATTCAAACGTCCTCCTCCTACAGGCTGGATGCCATCGGAACTTGGAATGCTTTCCTGAGGGTTGGCCAAAGAACTCCACCTAGCAGTGTGGCCTTACTGACAGGGGCATTTCTGAACAGCTATGATTTCCCATCTTCCAATTGATCTTGACAGGCTCATACATGTTTTGTGAAAATAGAGACCGTTATAGAACAAAGAACAGACAACAGGTACCAATAGGCACTTCGTAATTGAAACTCTGACGGGCCAGGGTGTAGTGGACCAGGGTTGAATCTCATTAGGGAGGGCAGGCAGCCTGCAATGTGGAGCTCTTCATCGATAATTGTGGCACTTTGGGCATATTAACTATCAAATTGAGCGCCACAGACACATGCGTGCAATTTTACAATTTTCAGCTCATTATTTCTAATTGTTCTGTGAGATTGAATGTGTTGAAGCCTCAATTTATAGACTAAATAGGAGCCCAGTATGTGAGACCTTTTACCCCACAGGTACAAGCAAATCATCTCAAGATGGTGCCTTAATTAGCCCTGAGAGAGTTTATGACTATAATTATTATAATTTCAACTCCTAGGAAAGGAAGCATTAGCACCACACACAGGAAAGCCTGCTTCATGCTAGTGAGCTGGCCTTACCAAGAAGGCTCAGCCTGCCTGGAGCAGCTTTAAGCCTGGGATTTGGGGCCATGTATTTTTGTATAGCATGGTTTTTGCTCCGAGTCCACTTTCTTTGGGCAGAGTTGCTGGCGGCATTGCCTCATGGCCTCACATTTTCCCCAAAGCTGTTTGTTCCTAGTGGTGCAGCTCATTGCCTGTCCATTCCTTAGGGTTGCTCCAGTGTTGAGGGATTACATTTCTTTGCTTGAATGGGCCTCAGGCAAAAGGGTATTTATTCATCTTATGGGTTAGGAAGTGAGCTAGTAACCTAAAAGTTCATCTTAGACGAGGATGGAAAAAGCCTGAAAGTGTTTTCTGCGGCTCAGGGAAGATGGGTGGCTGAACGTTGGGAGTGAGTTACGTTCATGTACAGCTAGGATGGCTGGAGGTCAGCTTTAGTGTCTTCTTCATTGTCACAGCCATTGCAGTGAAGAATGTGGGGTTCCCTATGCACTCTCTGAAGCTCAAAGACAGTGAAATCATTTGAGGTGAACAGCTGCTTCCCTCTCTGGAGTTGACCAAAGGCCTCAATAATGTATAGAAACTTTGTGGATAATCTACATGAGAAGCCCCACGATTTGATAAAAATGGTGTTCTCTCTCTGAGCTTTCAATAACTCAGTTCTGTACAAACACAACCTCCCTCCCCCATCCCTTCCGCTTTCTCTACATACATAAACACACACATACGGACACCTGTACAAGCATACACGAACACGGGAGCCACAAACAAATGCACACACATGCATACACACAAGCACACACACAAACACGCGCACACACATACCTGAAAACACATACATACACACATACAGAGACATGCATGCACATCCATACACACACAATATTTTACACTCTCCACTCCACCCTAAAGAGAGTAGTGATGCACGCAGGAGCCTGTCTCCACATCTTTCTGTGAGAGAGCATTCCTGTCAGCAAGAGCTTTTCTGTTATTGCAACTTACTTGCCCAATAAATATGTTGCCAGCGGCAACTACAGACTCGATGGGAGATGACCCCATGGTGACAAGCATCAACCACCCGACCTAAAAGGAAGACATGGACAAAAGTCAGCAAAGAGCTATTTGTAGGCAAACATTTAAAGATTGGCTGAAAATCTAATCTGTGTTGAGACCCCGAGGTCATTAATGCCTGTTGGCAGGTTGGTGATTATCTAGCCACAGAGCTGGGTCTTCCTACTGGAGTCTAAGTCTGTATCATTGTATCTGCTTTTGAGCAACATAGTTTCGGTAGTAATGAAATAATGAATAATGAAAGTAATGAATAAACAATTGATACTACTGTCAGAAAGCTTTTCTCCGGTCCAGGGATGACTATAAGCAACAGACCTGTTCTTGGAGCAGATGCTTTCAGCCCCTGTACTGCAGACGAGGAAGCTGAGGCTTGGAGCTGGTACTCTGTTAAAGGCCAGCCCACTTGGAGGTACTAAGGTAGACATAGTTGAAGATGTTTTCTGTACTTAATTCAGTGGGTATGATTTGGGGGCTCGGCTTTTGTGATGGCTTTGTGGGGACAGTGTAGATCTAGAGTGGCTCCCAAATATCTACAAATTAAGGGTCGGGTCCTCAGCTACAATGTCATCAGGAGGCGGTGGTGGCTTTCAGGGGTTGGGGCCTATCCTCTGAAGGCTGGAAGGCACCCTTGAGGATCCAGGGACTGGGCTGTCCTCTCTCTGTCTTTCTGTCGTTCTGCCTGACACTCCCATCACACATTTTTTTATATGTATGTTTTTGTGTGGCTGTAGGTCACAGAGGCCGGAGGAGAGTATCAGTGGGAGCTGATTGTGAGACACTGGTGGGCCTGTGGGAAGCTGTGACTGTGGGCCTATGTGGAAACCACAGAAAACAGCAATGCTGCTTTCCCGGGTGGGCACCTGACTTCTGTTCTCTCAAAGCACAAGTAAATTCAACTTGTGGAACTACTTCATGGAACTACCCACAGATTAGCAAATCAAAGTCTTTGTGAAGGTTCCTGAGGTAAAATTCTTTCTATGGACACACGCAGGATCATGGTTGAGGAGAGTCTTTGTAAAAAGATGGGTGTGGTGTAAATGCCTGAATAGAAGCGGTTAGGACTTTGAGCAGGAACTAACTCTCATCAGGCACCAAGCACCTGGGACCCCAGTACCTTTCTGATAATCCATTGCATCAGTCCCAAGTAGTAGAGCATGGACATCACTGTGCTGAAGAAAACCACAATTGGCAGGATCTGCGGGTGGGATAGCACAGGCGTGGTCACTGGTCAGTGCTGGGCAGTGAGTTTCCTATTAAGCTTCCCCTCTGCCTCGTTTGCACCCTGACACACAGCATAACGGAATCAAAGACCACCTTAGCTAACATCTGCTTCCATCAAGCAGTTGCCCTCTGGACGGCCTCCAACTCTGAAGTTCTTTATTGAATTGATTTGAGTATGTCTCCAAAAAGTCCACATGGTAGATATTTAAATATCTCTCAGATTCAGTGGTGATGGTGTTTGGGAAGTAATTAAGATTGGAGGAAGTAAGAGGCTGGAAAGATAGCTTATCGGGTAAGACTTGGTGCTCTTGCAGATCTGGGTTCAATTCTCAGCACATACATGGTAGCACACAATTGCCTGTAACTCCAGTTCCACTGTGGGCACTGCCTGAATGTGGTGCATTTACATACATGCAAATAAACACCCATATCCACAAATAAGATAAAAGAAGGAAAACGATTAGACGAAGTCATTGATATGGGATGTCCACAGCAGAAGTAACGGCTCCCTCTCTGGAGCCTGTCCCTGCCCTACCTTCCCCTCTAGTTCCCAGCTAATTGGTCAGAGGCAAGATACCAGGACAACCTGTGCAAGATCTAATTTAGAAAATGTGTGAAAACACATTTTGTCTCAGCATTAGTGTTCCTCTCATTTTAATAGGCAGGCATAGAAAAGGGGTATCCGGATTTACCTTAAATGCAAAGAAGTGGTCTGTATACTTATCACCGAAGACAAACATAGCTCCAGCATCCGTGAACCCCAGAAAAGTCTGAGACAGACAGAGATTGAGGTCAGTCATTAGAAACCATGATCAGTACTACAAGCCCTGCAGAGGATGGATGATGGCTAGGAGACTCATTAAGAGGCCTTGGACAGTCGATCTTCTCAGCATTGATGCTTTAGTGAATACCGTAAGTACCTCTGTTGACTCATGCCTACATGGAGACTTCCTGCCATTTCTGACATTCAGGCTGGCTTGTTCTGACTGTGGTCGTCGGCTCCTTCCAACGACACAGACACTGTGCAAGGATGACCCTAGTTACCACTAGATGCAGAAGAAGGCTCTCTCTCTGTTTTGGGGAACGTCTCAAACATGGCACCTTTTGGGCAGGATGATGGGGCAATAGGGATAAGGATTTGGTTCAGGGGATGACACAGGCAGTGCCAAGCTTGATTGGCTACATAGATGAACATGTTTGATACAAGCAGCAAGCCTAATTTATGCTATGGAACTAAATTTAGGGTACAATGTTAGAGATAAATCATTTACTTTTGAAATGATTTGAGGGCTACATCCAAATGCTAAAAGTACAAGAAAAGCAAATGATTTTGTTTTTGTTTTTGCAACAAGGTCTCAGGAGGCTCAGGTTGGCTTCAAACTTGCCTTGTAGCTGGTTTTGAGCTCCTGACCCTCCTGTTCCAGCTCACCCAGCTCTCTTTGGAGCTGCTTACCTGAACTTGTTTTCCCATCCAATCAAAAGCAATAAAGCCAGGCTTAGTCCTTAGAATTAAGAGCCCAAGAAGAAACTGTAATCCAATTCCCCAAAACACAGGCCTCCAGTAAACCTGTGGAGGAAAATGGAGACCATTAAATGTTGTGCTAACTTGAACACTGTAATAAGGCTTGAGTGAACCACAAAATGGTCAGTAATAATGGTGCTCAGAGACTAAACTTTCAGAAATTCCTACAGACCCCTCCTGGTCGTGGTTACCTTATTAGGAGGTTAACCACAGTTAACTAAGTGAACATAGACATCTAAGGGGCAACTGTTTCCTTGAGGGAATTCTCACATGTGCCTGGGGATGCCCAACAGCCAGAAGCAGAGGATTTTTTCCCCAATATAATCATGCTAATCACTCTTGATCCCTACCCTTGCTTATCTCCTTCCCATTCCTGTCTACCCTTCTTCTTTTTTTTTTTTAATCCCAAGTGGGCCAATTTGTGTGGGCGGCACCATTCCTCACACAGGGGTTCTTGAGCTGTGTAAGAATGGAGAAGGGGAACTGAGCTCAAGCATGAATGCATTAGTTCATTGCTCTATGCCCTGCCTGTGACCAATATGCTGAGCTGCTTCATGCTCCAGCCACTATCATTTTCTCAGGAAGATGGACTCTAAGGTGGAATCATGAGTCTTGAAGGGGATGTTATTAATATCTGATTTAGAGCTGGGAACTCAGTCACTCATTCTCAGCACTGTGGGCAGCTGCAAGGTTCTGCATTCACCCACCACTTACTACAAAGAGAGACCTTGGAGAACCTTTAGAGAGAGCCACTCTGTAAAAGGAAAAAAAAAAAAAAAAAACCTCAGGGTTTCATTTACTCTTTATAAACCTTGGTGTAAAATCTGAGAAAGTATGTAGCCATGAAGTCCTGATAAATGACTCAGACACAAAGTATCGTCTGCAAAACACATGGTCATATTGCAAATGTTACATCTACAATTACTTCTCCACTTGGAAAACTGAAAGTTAGAGATTGATTTTTCTGTGTTCAAAGCTGGTTTGTCTGACAATTTATAAGTGAATCAGGTGGAATTTGGCCCAGTTGAGAGGCTCTTGTCCCATGACAAAGGGAGCCAGCGACCTCTAATTCAGACCTAGGATGACAGAAGAAATGGACCGCCATCTGCGTCTATTCTCAGAGCAGAAGCCAGTGGGATTGATGGCACAGAGAAGGGAGACGTTATCATCAGACATGCTATTAGGTCAACTTGATCCCTGATTAGTGCTTTTTCCTCTGGTCGCTCTTCTAGCCAGAAGGACAGTTATAGTTTGCCATTGTGGTTCACAGGTAAAAGCTTTAGTTTCAGAATTCATACCCATCATGGGATGTAGGCTAATAAAAACGTGTGTATGTGTGTATGTGTGTTGGGGGGAGAGAATTGGATGCAATGACAGAATAGTGTATAAGGACCAATTTGAGAATAAAAAAGCATAAATCAAAACAGAATGTTTTATAATGCACAGGACTGAGGCTGGAGATGTGGTTTGGTTGGTAGAAGACTGGCTCAGTGTGTGCAAGGCCCTGCATCCCCAGCCCCCTAGAAACTGGGTACGGTCACACCTGCTTAGGATTCCAGCACTTGGGAAGCAGGAGGATCCTAGAGCAAGTTTGAGGCCAGCCTGGGAGTTACTGTCAGTTACTGTCTCCAAACTGAAAAAGTGCAGGATTGAGTATATCAGTATCAGTAACTGGCCATCTGGGAAAATGGGTGTAAGGGAATGACTTCTGTGTGCTTAGTAACAGATCCGAGTAGACATAGGGAATGTTTTACTTGTGTAACTGGAAATTACTAGAAAACAAGAAGCTCTAAATAAGCATCCTTACCCCTTAAGGACTCACATGGGGTGAGGAAAACTTGCATGGGTAGATTCTTTCAGTAACTATTTTGAAGTCCTGAGCATCCCCTCATCCCATGGCCAGTTTGTACTTACTCTGGTTGGATGTTTGGAAAACAGGAACAACAGGATGATGTACATTATGAGTCCGCCAAAGGATACCAGGTGCTGTTTGCCCAGTCTGGCAGTGTCAAGGATCAACCAGAAAATAACGGCCAGGATCAATGAGGTCCATACCACCCTATGAGAATGGAAGGAAGGAGCTGGTTTCTTTAGCATGCCAACTGGAATACTGTAATGAGGCTTAAACTAACAAGTGGGAAATGGTAATGAGACAACACTACCCAGAACCAGGAAGCTGTGCTTTCAAACATCTGTGGCCTCAGTGAGATATATCCCCCTTTACCTTCTAGCTCACAAACAAGGATCTGCACAGGGGCATCAGAGAGTGAATGTTTGTATAGCGATGTGCGGTCTCTGTTTAAAGGAGCTCTCTCAGCCTTTCTCTCGGTCCTTTTTGGGATGGTTTTCTTTCTCCCTTCATGAGAGAATGTGTTTTCTGTAATTGGGGCTCATCAGCAGAGCTGAATCAGCTTGGCTCCTATCTTCCCTGGACAGAGTCTAGTGGACACGATGAGCTGATTCAGAATGAGGAAGGCCACCACTGTGTGGTGAGTTCACAAGCTACACAGGGAGGGTAGGTGGAATGTCCAGGGTCTCCCATGTGGTTCTCAGTGGAGAGAACCAGTCCTGTGAACTACTCAAGCAGGCCATTTCTAAGGAGAGGAGGTCTCACAGCAAGAGGCCAAAGAAAAGCCCTGGGGGTCACTGTAGTGTATAGGTTCCTTTAAAGGGAAGTTAGGTCCTCAGAGAGCCAGCCCCATCCCCAGAGCAGGAAGCCCCTCCCCAAGGCAGAGCTATCCTTGTCCTCATCTTGTTACTGTCTAGAATCAGGAACTGGGAGAAAGAAGGATGGGGCTTTTGGCTGAGTTTTCTCTAGCCAGGAAGGGAAGGAACATCCCAGACTGAAAGTACTCTTGGGGTCATTGGTCACTGCAAAGAGCAAGCAGAGAGGCCATTAGATTTTTATATTTTTATACAACATAAAAGTTTAGATATTTCCAATTGAATAAGATTGCATGAAAGAAAGAAAAAAGTCACAATTTTAATACATGGTGTACACAAAAACATGCAAAACACGCTTTAGCCTCAAGGGGATTTTTAGAGATCTGGGTTTTTGTTTGTTTGTTTGGTTTTGGTTTTTGAGGTAGGGTTTCTCTCTGTAGAAAACTAAGCTGTCCTGGAACTCATTTTATAGATCAGGCTGGCCTTGAACTCAGAGATCTGCTTGCCTCTGTCTACTGGGTGCTAGGAATAAAGGCACTCACCACCACCTGGCAAAATCTACTTTTTAAGGAGCAGAAGGCATAGAAATGAGAAGAAAGGAAAATCTAATCTAAAAATTATTGAATTCAAAAGTCAACCAATAAATGAAAGTAATGGGATACTAGTTGGCTCATCTAAATAAAAAAATGCTCATGTTCATTGTGCATTGAAAACATACACACACACACACACACACACACACAAATCAAACATCTCATCTTGGTCTTCATTTCCTGTTTGAAAAATATAAACTAAGTTAATAAATAAGTAAAATAACATATTGAAGATTGAATATAGTCCATGATTTCCATTCTGTAAATTTAATGAGATTATGCATGACTATATAAAAAGAAAAAATAGAAAAAAAAAGCAAGCTCACACTGTCAGCAATCTTTACTGTTTTGTACTTATAAACCAGTCTTTAAGCTAGCACTGAACTGATGGCATCGTGTGCTGTTCTCTGACCGGGGGCAGGTCAGACATTACTGAGTGATCATGATTTTATTCCACTGAGGTGGAGACAGACCTAAAGCCATCACTGCATGGGCTGTCCTGTGTTCTTGCCTATATGTAGATATTTAGGTGCAGATGAGAAGATTGTCTTTGAATTTCCACCAGCACATGAATTAAAGGGCTCTCAATAATAAATTACCTCATCCTGGTCTTCATGTCTTGTTTGTAAAATGGAGGCAGCTTAATGGATTGCTCTCGAGTTTTTTCCTAGCCCAATATCCCATAAATGAGGGTGGAATTTTAGAGCATGTTTTTGGAACAGTGAGAGAGTCAATCTCCCACCCTATAGTAGGGGCAAAGGTAGTATTTACCATTTCAGCCAAAACCAGTGCCTATTGAGAAAGCTTCTGCCTGGAGACAGGAACTCCTCGATTCGGTGTTCATATCTGGCCATCAGGTGATCCCAGACAACAAAGAAGATGGCAACCAGGGTGATCACAAAAAGGGGCAGGGCTCTGTGGAAGTTCAGCGCACAGGCTGCAATCACCAAGGCCAGGAAACCTGTCCGGGAGGCAATTCAGACACTTGATATCACCAAACCAGTGGAGCTGGGCTTCCAGCCTGGATGTACCTCAGGCAAGAGGAGACCTAGTCAAGCACCCATTGGATGCTAGGGTGCCTAGCTGAGCCTTCTGCTTTTCACCACGATGGAGAAAGGATGCTGGGTTTTGTTTTTCTCATATAGAACCTTCTCAGTTCTTGAATCCCAGACACTTGGTCACTGTGGCTGAATTTAAAGAATACCAAGAGCTGTGCAGTAAGACCCCATCTCAAAAAAGAAAAGTTTCTTATTCTAAAAAGTCATCAAGCACCGGCCCACAGGTTATGTCCAGCTTGCTTCCATGCAGTCCGCAGGCCTCGGTGGCATTTGCTCGTGCACACCTGTACCTCCCAATCACATACACTAGTAATGCAGCCCTACCTTTCCGCTCACAGAGGATCTACAGTTGTATTTTTGTTCAGTGTTGAAGGTCCCATCTGGCCAGACCTGAAAGGCTGCTCTGGCCTGCTACAGGGAAGGTGGTCAACCCTCACCCCTGTGCCAACTGTTTGAACATCAGCACAACACTTAGCTTTGGCGGTGTGGTCTGTGGGCTTGTGTGGGAAGGGTCACACTTTACAGACGGTGGGTGGGTGTTTTTCTACAGTGGGCTTTGAAGTCCTTTGCTTTGGGAAGACAGAAATCAGGATGCATGCTCACGGGCCTGTGGGCTAAAGTGCGGGCCAGAAGGGTGGGGGCCTCACCCTGTAGTCACTCTCACAAGTTATGTTTGTTCCAGCTTAACCTCGTGCTCATGGCCGCTACTTGGTGGGTAAGTCTGCATTTGCATCAGTGAGCGCGTTTCCTCGAACACACATCACATGAACAAGAGTTCTATGAGTCCCAAGAGTAGGGCAGTGCTGTGGTTTGAATATATCTCCCTCAGCCCCACATACATAGAGTAATAGTAGCAGAGGTAAGGCTATTAGGATGTAATGGATTGGATGAGGTCCTGAGGGCGGGGCCACCGTGATGTTACTAGTGGCTTCCTAAATCGAGAAGTAGAGACGACATGGGTTAGCACGCGCTGCCTGGTGCTACAAAGCCTTCCTCTATGTTACAACGCAATAGAAAGCCCCCAGCAATGCTGGCATCTTGACCTTGGATCTCCTCTGTTCTAGCACCTGAATAAAATCTATGACTGAGCCTGCAATATTCAGTTATAGCAAAAGAAAATGGACTAAGAGAGCAGGTAACTGAAAAAAAAAAAAAATCCAGTTAGCCTCATAAACAAGGCAGGAAAGCAATGTGTGTAGGCTTTCCCTTCAGGGGCTTCTTGGTCAACTTTATTTCCTTCTCCTGAAGCTAATGCTTAGAAGATTCCAGGAAATGACAACTGTATCCCACTTCCCTTCGGTATTTACCAGTCAACAAAATGCCCCTGATGCTGCGCCGAAGGACGGTTCTGTGCTTTCTACAAAACTCGCAAACTGTGTCATACTTCCTCTCCAAACACCTGCAACACAAAAGCAAAAACGGGCACCTAGGTGAACATCCGAGCGCAAAATGCCTGGTGTGCGAAGCCTGGGCTAGAGAGTGTAAAACAAACAGGAATCTAACCAATAAAGCAGCGGAAGGGCGGGGCTTCCGGCTAAAAGGGCGGGGCTTCTGGCTACAAGCGTGTCCGGCACCGCTGCCTCCGGGGAGGTGCATGGTGAGGAGTACTTGTGAAAACGTGTGCTGAGAAACGGAACCACCCCTCTAGATATTAGGCGAACCACGCTTTGATTCGCCTAATATCTAGAGGTCTAATTCGGGAGAGGCCAGTCATACGTTATCCTCCGTGGAGGGGCTAGGGTTGTTTTGAAGGCAGCAATGGTGAAGAGCCACTGTTGGCAGACCCCCTCGTTGGCTGCTCCGGACTCTATTAGATTTTTTCTTTCCTAAACCAGAGGCAGGGAAACGGTGTAGTCCATTACAGCGAGCTGACCCTGGAAAGCAAAGTCGCTGGTCCAGACTTGCTTCCTTTGGTCGTCTAGGCTGAACGATTCGCAACCCACGGGCGACGACGGCCTCGGCACCATGACCTTAGTGACGCCCCAAGAGATTTTCTCAGCCCCCCGGAAGGACGGAACTTGGCGAATGTTCAAGGTGTACACCCGTCAGGACCTCTCAAGCCTCCTTCTAACTGGTTTGAGGGTCGTTATTCTGGTGCCTAAGAAGGAAGGTTCTTCAGGGGCTGGAGATGCTCAGTGGTGAGGGAGCACACACTCCTGAGGAGGCCTGTGTGGGCTTCCTGTCATCCACAGAGTGGCGCCATCATCTACAGTTCCGGCTCCCAGGGACCCCACCTCTTCCGGCCTCCGCAGACACCAGGTACATACACGGCACACAGACATACACGCAGGTAAAGCCCACATACACTAAAACCGTAGATGACTTAAGTAAAAGTTCTTTAGAGATATAGGAAGGTAAATAAAAATTTACATAGGAATTTAGAAAATGGCCACAGGTGTATAATGATACGGACTGGAATTCCACAGTTTGCTCTCAAGCTGACTGACCTTCAGAACTTCATCTTACTAACCCCAAATCGAGCTAATGCTATTTCCTTAACCAGGCGTGAAGGCTCATGCCTATTCACCCCAGCATTTGACAGCCCTCAAGAGCCCGGTAAAGGCAAGTTCTAAGTTACCCTAGGCTGCATAGCAGACCCTGTCAAACCCACAGCTGCTGGCTCTCCTGTCTTAGGTGATTGCAAGTACCTGGAATCATTTAAAAATAGTTTATAATAATAAGAGTAAGAGTAATAACAGCAGCGACACTTTAAAATGTATATTTCTTTCTTCTGTGTGCACCTGTATGAACACATGTGTGCCAACAACAAATGGGGTAGCCTGGGGGCAGCCTCCTTGCTGCTCCCTGTCCAGGAGATCAGAGCCAGATCCTCAGACTTGGCGGCGCATACTTTACAGGCCGAGCCATCTCCCTGACCCAGTTTCCTAAGATTTAATGTAGGTTTTGAGAAATAAATTGCTATTGATTGATATGGAGAAGATAAATTGACTCCTTATGCACAGATCGGAGCCATTAGTTGGTAATTTATACCTTTAATGAGAAGACCGTCCTGGGTGAATGTAAAAATAAATTCTGGGTTCCTAGAGCAACATTGTTGCCAATGGACTATATCTACCATCTTAAAACGGCCATTAATTTTCCTAGTGGTGCTGGAAACATAGTAAAATTTAAAAGCAGATAAGAATAAAACAAGACAACAAAACACAAACACGGACTGGGACACACAGGGGCAGCCCTCGGCCCTGCCTCTGGCTTAGGAATGTACCCTTTGTGGTGCTCTTCCTGGTCATCGTCCTCCATGTCGTCTTTGTTCTCCACAGACTCCCGCTCAATCGTGATTTGAGTGTCACCCTGGGGAGCAAACATTGGAGCAGAGGGAATGAGAATACGGGCATGTGGGCTCCAGACTCCTTTGCTCAGCACTCAGGCAAAAGAACGTTCAAGTCTCTTTTAAATCGTTACACAATAATTTATTATCGCTCGTGTTATCTACGGCACGGACACTTTTTTTTTTTTCTTTTATAATCATAAGAAATTCAGGATCACACTTATGGAGTCTCTGGCATTCCCCATCACCGCCTTTTTGTTTGCTTGTTTGTTTGTTTTTGGAAAGGGGACATGTTTTCATTTCTTATTCTTGACCCAGTTCCTGCTGTAATCATTCAACACCAGACAGCAGCTCTGGTGCTTTTGGGAAGGGCCAAATGAAGTTAACAGCAACAGCCCCGTCTCCAGAGCCTGAAACCAACCAGGCTTGGCTTGCAGGTATGAGCGCCCGCCTCATCCTGACAGAATCCCCACGGGACCCGTGTTCTCTCAGCTCGGACTCACGGGAGTGCAGCTCTCACGCCAAATACTCATGTGAATGGCTACTTTTCAGGGATGATTTTTTTTTTCTTTCTCCCAAATAGCATGACCCATTCTGTTTCCAGAATAGCTCCCTCTCTCCATTTGGCAATTTTCCAGCTGGTGAAGCTGGCCGTTGTACATGGCTGGGGCATGTTCCATATTGGTTCTGAACACACACTGGCAGGTGTACTGCTGGAGCACAGCTGCTCTGTTATATGCACAGCGGCCTTTTATCCTCTGTACTTAAAACATAGAAATACATCGCTTCTGACCCAGCAAGATACCAAAGGTCACCGAGCACATCAAAGTCAGACTCTGCTCTTTCTGCCTTCGGTCACCTTTGTTTTCTAGAGTGGTCCTCAAGAAGTAGAAAGGCTTATACTACAGGAAATAGCCTGAGTCCAAGTTCCAGGCGCCACAGACAGGGGCAGAGGTGAGTCAGTCATTTATGTCTTGTTCTAAAAACAGATTGACTTATTTTTATTTTATGTGTATAAATGCTTTGACTCTATGTGCATATACCATGTGCATGCAGTGCCCACAGAGGCCAAAAGAGGATGTGGGATCCTTCGGACCCCAGTTATAGATGGCTGTGAGCTGCTAGGTGGGCTCTGGGAATGACGATGATGTCTTTGACAAGAGCAGCCGTGATCGGAACTGCTGAGCCTTCTCCCCGGCTCTGTATCCATTTATTTCTACTTGACACGTATAGCTTGGCCAGGAATTTGGTAAATATTTTATTTCAATGACTGTGATGTTCTGTTGTCAATGTATCCCAGGCTACCTGCTACCTATGGGATGCTTAATTCTTTCTTGTCTTTTAAAAATGGACACCAGAATTACCCTTCACCTTCGTTATCATGGGTTATCTTCCTCTTCCTAGTCACTACCTAACTCCGTGTGCTTCCCTTCTGCCACCATCTGCTCACATCCACTTCCTGCACAGCTCAGGCCTGTGCTGTTCACAGAGGCCTCCTTCAACCTCACCCAAAGCCCATCACAGCCAAACCAGCTGCTACTCAGCCTGCATATTGTAGAATATGAAGTTTTGTTTGGTTCTTTTATGAAACAATAAAAAAGCAGACTTTTTCTTTTTTTAGAGCAATTGCAGGTTCACAGCAAGCCTAAGCTGTAAATAAGTAGATTTCCCACACATCCTCACACATCCTGATGAATTCCTGCACCGGGGTGCTCCAGGTGTTACCGCGGTGAGCCGGCTCCACATATTCTATCCTTCACCTTCAGGGTTGTGATGTCTGTTCTTGGTTGTCAACTTATTATATCTGGAAACCTGGGAGGGATATTTTTTTTTTTGAAGTGGGAAGACCCACTTTTAATCTAAATATTTCAAGGTGGGAAGATCCACCTCATTGTTTCTAGCTCTGAAAAACATTGCCTTATCTGGTCTGACTGCTGTCCATCGGTTTTCTGATGGGTACCTGATTAGGAATAGATGGCTTTCTGATTATGGAAACACCTGTGCGGTGGTTTTCACGTGCACCAGTTCGGTGGTTGGAGGGTACTTAGTGACATAAACACTGCACAAGACATTAAGCGAGGTAAGTGGTGAGTAAGAGACGGTGTGAACCAGCATCCACATGCACAAGTGGGGGTCTGCATAAATACGGGCTGTGTTCCGGGGCGCACCTGATCTGCTCCCCTTGGAGGAGAGCCAACTTTCACCTTCCAGTTTTTGCTGCAATAATTTCACCAGTCTTGGGTAGTCTTTAGAACTATTTTTCAAAGGGTGATCTACGTGAGTAATTACTCACTGTTTTCTTCAGCAGCAGAAGAAATTCTCCCTGAATCTGATATATCAGTGAAGCAACACAGAATTCCTTGCCAGATGTGGTGGCCAGTGCCTGTGATCCCACCACTGCTGAAGCCAGAGGATCAGGAGTTCAAGACTATCCTCTATTATGTATTGAGTTTGAAGTTAGCTTGGGTCACATGAGTCCCTGTCTCTCCTAAACAATTAAAACCCAACCCCAAACAACTTCCCCCTCAAAAAAAAAAAGGCTCCCAAGATTTGTGCAAGCTCAGGCTCTGTGGGACCAAGGATGGGGCATCTCACTTGCCTCCTTCACCTTAGCAGTTCAGGGGCTTTTCTTGTTTGACAGGCAGTCTCACACCAGCTGGCCCTGACTCCCGCCTCTGTCCCCGAGTATCTACATGGGGCTACAAGGATGAACATCCACGCTGGCCTAAGACTAGGCTTTTGGCATCGGGATGGTTTTCTTTCAGGGGAACTGTGAGGCTGCTCCGTCAAAGTGAAACCTCATGGACAGGGTGTGTGTGCCTTAGGCAAGCTAATCACACTCACAGGCAGCCTGGTGTCACCATGGTAACAGGTCCTCAGTCCTCCTCCACACCTGCCCTACCTGTTTGGCATTTCCTTGCTCCCTGCTTTGTACAACTCTTCCCCGGACGGTGCTGTTCCCCGTGTTCTGTTCCCCAAGGTCTTCATCCTACGAACAGAGCAGAGTGAAAAATAAGGTGTTGGAGCCCAAACCCGAATGCCCTTCCGTGAAGATTCCTGGAAGGGTTGCAAAGAGTGCCAGAAGCCAGGACTCTGTGTGAGGCATCCGATTCGGGGAACTGCCAGGGAAACTTGGGCTCATAAGGAAAAGATGGGTTTTGCTTTTCTTTTGCTCTGGTGGGAAAGACCTCGTGCTGCACACTGAGGAAGGATAGTGGCTTGGCTTCCCACCGTCGACCCTGACTGTGCTGTAACAGGCAGAGCCAGCACCATGGGACCTGGCTGGGACCTCATGTGTCAGCTGGGCTGGTCAGTCACCCCTCAGCAAGGCACAGCCACTTTTAACCTATGCTCAGTCAGTAGAAGAAATAATTATCCCTTTAATGAGACATTGTGCTTTTTCTTCCCAGAATCCCTAGTGGGGACCTGTACAGAGCCCCAAAGCCGGGGCTTCCTAAATCTGAGTCATTCTGAGAAGCCTTTTCTTTCCATCTCATTTCTGCTTCTGCCCATGACTTCCCTAACACTTCGGGCCTCTTTCCCTGAAGTTTCCTTCTGGCAGAGTGCTTGTCTGCGTGGCTCACCGCCATGCCCACTTAATTGGCACAGCTTCTTCTCTCTTCTGGGTAGACACTGAGATTTACAGCTTGCTGCCCTGGGGGTTTGACTTTAAACTCCAATAAAATTGTCCTGTGGATCAGTTCTTAAGTCTCTTCCTTTCTTGTTCTTTCCTTTCTCTTCCTCCATCTTCTTCTTTCTCCTCCTCTTTTTGTTCTGTTTGTTTGACCTGTTTTCCTTATGTGGCTCTGGTTGGCTTTGAACTCACAGAGCTCCGCCAGCCTCTATCTCTTGAGTCCTGAGATTAAAGGACTCCCATCTTAAAATTCTTATAAAGGAGACTAAGACCCTAGGAGGCACCCCCTCTTTCCTGGTATCTCTGGTGGGGCTCTCCACAGTCCCTGGTAGCCCGCTGGGGACTGTACTGTTCCCTGTGTTTATGGATTCTTACATTTGCCCGAAAACTAAGTTGAAAACAAGAGGACCCAGGATCCTGAATTAAACGTGCAAATAAGATCAGGGTTCCCTGAGCCCATCGTCCTGTACTCCAGAGGAGTCTATTTACACAGCAGTTTTCTCTCTCTGGCTCTCTGCAGAACCTCTCAGCCTTCTGGTGCTGATCATTGCTGCCACCTGCTGGCCTTACCAGAAACCTTTGCTGAAGGAGAGAGAATATGGGTTTTAAGGCAATGGGAGAACATGCGTGTGTGTGTGTGTGTGTGTGTGTGTGTGTGTGTGTGTGTGTGTTTGTATTTTGGGGGGTGGTGGTGGCATGCCTGCTGTTTTGCATGCTCACAGAGGCAACCCTGAGGCCGGACGAGCCACAGAACAGAGGCAGTGGGGGGGGGGGGGGGGGGAGGTGCCCTGAACTGCCTAAGAGGTGAGCTGAGCCCAGCATTTAGGTCCTGATGGTGGGTGTCATGTGATCATCTGCTTCAAGACCATGCTGCCTTCATGTCCCTGCCACTATGACCCAGAGCAAGCCCTTTCTTCCCTAAATTGCCTTTCTCTCTCCCACTCCAGGGTCTCTGTGTAGCTCTTTGGCTGTCCTAGAACTCCTGGTGGGATTAAAGGCGCGTACCCACTATAGGCCTAAGATGCCTCAGAGTATTTTATCATAGCGACGGGAAAAGGAATTAGTGAAAAGCTACCTGGGGACGCCTGGAAGACAGTACCACAAACGCGCACAGCGTTGCTTTTGCTGGTGACCTCGGAGGAGTCAGACCCTCTTTGAACCTGAGAGGAACTCCAGTGTGATGGTTGTGGGCATGAACTTGTGTGAGCGATAGTGCGGTTTCCGGTATGTGGAAGCGGTTAATGACCAAGGGCTCTCATGGCCCTGTGAGCCTTAGACCTTCCTCTTGACCTACGACAAACTGTAGTCTCTCTGCACAAGCTATTGCACCCACTTTAACACAGTAAGAGACTCGAACAACCACTCACACGGCTCCTACAAGCTGGCAGACTGAACTGTTTGCGCTGTAGGGAGCTCACTCGAGCAAACCGCAGGGCTGTGGGAGCGTACTTACTCCAGTAAACCCTGCCACTGGCCCCTGGGGGTGGAGAGAAAGCAGCCCAGAGCTGACTTAGGATGGCAGCCTTCCAGTCAGCCAGAGGAGGGGCCTGACTGAAGTAACCTTGGCAAACCCTCCTCCCCTTTCCTGCTTTCTGACTGAAGTAACCTTGGCAAACCCTCCTCCCCTTTCCTGCTTTCTGCAACGTCCACACCTCTGATTGGGCCAGATCCTTTCCCTGTTTCCTAATGCTTCCCCAGAAGGCCCGCTCGCCTCTGCAGAAACCGAAGCTAGCTGTGCAGTGCAATCTGCCCTCACTGATTTTACTGATATCGGGGTCTTTCTTTTTTTTTTTTTGAAGGGGTGGTATCCAAAGCTTTAAACACAGCCTCTCCAACTGACTGCTTCTAGGTGTTGCTCAGATGCAGCAGCGGGCTCAAGTTGTACAAACGCAGAATCTCCCGTCCACTCACGGCCTACACCACTGTCTTGCCTCACTTTTTTTTTTTTTTTTCCATATAGGACAACTGTTAACAGTCAAGACACAGACAGTAGAATAGGGTAGGTGTAAATTAAGAAGCGTTCTACTTCGAAAAGCGCTCATGCCACTTTAAAACTGACAAAGGCAAATGTGTAGTAGCCATATTGATTGTTTTTGGTTTTCAGAAATGAAAGACTTGTACGTGTCTCACCGCTGGCCACCCTTTTGTTGTACGTCTGTAACACCTAGCACAAGATTCTAGTTTGAAACCCAAATCTTCAAAGCACAGGGCTCACACGTGAGTGCTGCATTAATATCCTAAGCAATACAGAGTTACACGGGAGGTAATACCACCTCTGTGGTAAGAGGTGCCACATCCTCTCACTAACCCGCTTTGAGCGAAGAGGAGGCACACGGGGCGACTGTGCCGCATTTCAGCTCACATAGCAACCCTCGAGAATTTTATTTGTACCTTAATGTGCCCGTGTTAGCACACTGCTTTAGCTTCAAGAATTCCAGGCTGGAGAGATGGCTTAGCACTTAAGAGCACCTACTGCTCTTATAGAGGATCTGGGTCAGGTCCCAAACACTCACAGGGTGGCTCGCAAGTGCCTGAAACATCAGTTCCAGGGTATCTGATGCCCTCTTCTGGAGGCATCAGGTACTGCATGTATGTGGTATACACACATGCAGGCAAGAAACACTCATGCACATAACATAAAAATGAATTTTAAAAACTTCAAAAATTAAGAGAGGAATATGAGTTTCACTTGTAAATAACTATCTCATATAATCTGTAGAAATCTGTCACATTGTTGGAACACATTACTGAGATAATATATTAAGAATAGAGAACCATAATTCTGCAATAAATCAGTTTATTTTTTTAAAGCAAACCAGCAAGACTTTCAGTTCACTTGTACATTTATAAATAGAAAATTTATAATGCAAGCTTCATGCATTAATAAAACTTGGCTGCTGGGCATGGTGGCACATATCTTTAATCCCAGGACTCAGGAGGGAGAGGCAGGCCAAGGCCAAGGCCAGCTTAATCTACATAGTGAGTTCCAGGACAGCCAGAGCTACACAATAGAGATCTTGTCTTTTTTTTTTTTTTTTTGAGACCTTGTCTTAAAAAGACCAAAACAACCCAACAAAACCACACAGGCACGCACACGTACGCACATATCCCAAAACAAAACACAAAAAACAGAAAACAAGACAACAACAAACCAAACCAAGCAACTGACTAGCCAAAAACTTAAGTAGAAGGGGCTGCAGAGAGGGTCAGTGGTTGAGAGCACTTGCTGAATTTGCAAAAGACCCAACTTCTATTCCAGAAAGTCACACAGTCTCTTACAACCACCTGACATGAGCTAGGTAGTTCATGCTCTAGGGGACCTGACACAGGTCTTCTGGCCCCTGTGGGCACCTGCATGCAAGGCACAGACTCACACAAACACACAGAACACATATGAATAAAACTGTCAAAGAAAGCTAGTCATGGTCCACACATTTTTAAACCCAACACTCAGGAGGCAGAGACAGGTAAATTTTAGTCCATTCAAATCTACGTAATGAGTTCTAGGCCAATCAGGGCTATATGGTGGGACCCTGTTTGAAAAAATAAAAAATAGTAACAAAAGAACTTGCGTTTACTTTTTAGCAGGCGCCTTAGTTGGAGTTACTATTGCGGTAAACACGGCAACCAAAATCAGTTTATTTGACTCACACTTCCACATCACAGTCATTGAAGGAAGTCGGGCAAGAACTCAAACAGGGCAGGAACCTGGAGCCTGCAGCTGAGAGAGGCCACGGAGGGGTGCTGAGTAGCGGCTTGCTCAACCTGCTTTCTTATAGAACCAGAACCACCAGCCCAGGTGTGGCTCCACCCACAATGGCCTCGGCTTTCATCAATCACTGATTAAGAGCATGCCCTGCAGCTCAAGTCTTAAGGAAGCGCTTTCTCCATTGAGGCTCCCTCCTCTTTGCTGGCTCTAGCTCATATCAGGTCAACATAAACGACCCAGCACAGCTGGGTCACCACCAAGAGCGTCACGTGGCAGAGTGTTGCCACGGAACACCCTAGCTGTGGATTCACTGTCATTCCATAAAGTCTGACTCAAATGTTATTCTGTTTCTTGCACTGTATGCTCGTGACAGCAATCCCCTGCCTCCACCCCTCAAGTGCTGAGACATTGACAGGCCTGGCTCTCCTATTCTTTTGAAGGAAGGGTGGTTGCCTTTTGTGTTGGACTGTATGTATGATGATTTCTGCCTGATTCTAATTTGATTATAATCTGATACTGTTTCTGATGTAGCCTGGCCTACTTGCTGTAAAGTAGGATATTCCCATGAGATCTTCTGAAGATGCATTCTGAAGGGAGAGGACCTTTAGATGCCTCTGTGTCTAAAGGCACAGAGGCATCTAAAGGC